AATTATTAAATATCATAGGCCATTACATACATTTATTATGATTTTTATAATTACTACTGATAATAATAATTAAAAAAAAGATTTAAGAAGGGGGTCTGGGGTCATTGAGGAAATGTCTTTATTTATATAAAAGGAAACGCAAATGCAGGTGACAATTCAAAAAATAAAAATATAGTGTAATATAGTGCTGTAAGGCTCTCAGGCATTCTGTATTGCTGTCAAATATGTTTCTCCTGTTTTTTATTTCATTTCCCTGCTGAGTCAACACACATGCAGGCATGACTGAAGTAACCTAAAGTCTTTAAATGTGCACGTTGCACCTTTTCACCTCAATGATAAATTAATTCAGTTATAAACCCCTGCACCTTGATAGCTCCTATGTTTCAGCAGCTTTTCTGCTCAAGTTCAAAACTTTCTTCACATTAAAAATCTCTCCCACATATCTGTGTTCTCTGACATTTGCAGAATAACAATTTAAGATATAATATTACGAGATATAATGAGAATTCCTTCTGGGACTGTACTGGATGAGACGAGCTCACTGCTCTTCATCAGAGGTAGAAAATCGAAACTGAAAACACTTGTGATCAGACAGAAATATTACCACACATCCACACACACACGTTCACTTCAGCACCTCTGATAAAGTTCAGCTCACAGCAGCTTCAGAGGGAATGAAGCATCCTGGAGCAGAGAGGCAGTCAAACAGAGCGAAGTGTCTCTGAGCGAGGGGACAGAGAGAAGCAAAGAATAAAAGGGCTCAGTCTAACTCTGGGGCCCCTAGTGCCTATGAACTGTTTAACAGCGCACATCCATACAGATGGACCCCAGACAGCATGGGGGCGTACCAAAAGGCACTGGAAAATCAAAACATACATGATTTAACTCATTTATTTCTGACTGAAACATTTCCCCAGAATAATTCTGGTGTAAATTCTGCTGTGGACAAAATCAATTCAACATTTCATCATTTGGCTTCATTGTCTAAATTAAAATCCTCCAAACCAAAACCTGCAAACAAATGAACAATAACAAATGGTTTGAGACTGAATGCAAAAACCTGAGGAAAACTTTAGGAAATTATCAAATGAAAAGGACCCAGATTACCACAACATACGCTGTCAATATGAGCCCACTCTGAAACAGTACACCCTAAAAACTACTAAAGAACAACACAGCAAGAAGCAGCTCTGTGAAATTGAGGAATCCCTAGAGTCCAACCAGTTCTGGGAGAAATGGAACAACCTAAACAAAACCCAGCAGGATGAATTGGCGATCCAAGATGGAAATACTTGGATTAATCACTTTAGTGAATTATACAGTAATATTGCAAAAAATTTTGATCAGTACAAGATATTCACGAAATGGAAAACTCTGGAGGGGTGATAAAAAACAACCAAAACCCTCTAGATTACCCAGTAACAGAACAAGAATTAACAGAAGTCATCCAGTCCCTAAAAGGAAAGAAGGCTTGTGGCGTTGATGGGAATCCTCAACAAAATGATCAAATAATCAGACCATAAAATCAGATTGGCTATACTAAAACTATTCAACACTATTCTAGCAACTGGAATTTTTCCAGACATCTGGAACAAAGGTTTAATAACCCCAATTCATAAATCCGGAGATAAATATGACCCAAATAACTACAGAAATATGTGTATCCAGTAACCTGGGAAAAATATTCTGCAACATCATTAACAAACGACTTGTCAACTTTCTTGATAACCACAATATTCTGCATAAATGCAAATTTGTTTCTTGCCAAATTGCAGCAAAATGGACCTCATATTTACCCTCCAGACCCTAATTGATCAAGAATCAAAGCATTAAGAAAATAAAGGTATATTCCTGTTTTGTTGACTTCCAAAAAGCCTTTGATTCCATCTGGCACGAGGGCCTTATTGATAGGCTACTTGAAAGTGGCATTGGAGGAAAAACATATGATTTGATTAAAAACATGTATACAAAAAGTGTGTGCAATAAAGACCAACCATTTTTTCCTCCTCTCCATGTCACTGGGAAACCATACATTCGTGCTCCTTTTTCTGACCGACTACAGCAGCACGCAGCACAATAAACCGTGATGTAGACAGTAAGACAGTACACAGGTACAAACCACTTAACATGTTGATTTCTGAGTTTATTGGAGATTCATTTAATTAATACATGACAATCATTGATAGTCATCGTCTGTTCAATCTTAAGTCATAAAGATTACATTAGTCACTAAGATCAATTAACCCTGGTACCATGGGATTACTAAAAGGAATGTTAGAAAGGTAAATCTACAAAACATTTTTTTTTTTAATGGTAACGTAACCACATACACGTGTCAGTGTACTGTACAAATATTGTAAATCAATGCATTTACTGTATAAATTACCAAAAATCGCTTAAAATCGCCGTTTTGTCGTTTCTCCCGCTCATTTTCAATCGCCTGCCTAGGACTTCCGGGAACTCTCTGCGGTCTCCATGAACCACGTGACGTTCAAGCATTTTGGACCCCCGCTGACACAACTCTCTCTCTATAGGGCTCTGCCACCTGGAGTACCGTTTAAGTGCTTTTCATAACGGAACGCAGCCCATGATGCTGATGACTGACTGCTGTACTTACCTTAGCATTTACATGTAATCAAAGAAAATGCACATTTAAGTCAGAGTTATTTATTACAGTAATGTCTCTACAGTGTTTTGGAGAAAAAAGGGGTTAGGGTTACTGCTGATTTCATTTTCAAAACCTTGTTTTGTGGGATTTATTTTATACTACAACTGAATGACAATATGTCCATATAACAAGTCCTTACATGAAAAAGTATCACAATAATTAGCTGCAGAAAAACAACAACAATCTTCAGAGAAGCCACCATTCCTTCTTAGTATAGTTTGTCCTCAATGGTCAGCTCACCCAAATGACAAAACATGTCCACGCACTCCTAACGACATACAAGATTTGAAATATCCACCAATGACATTTCTGACATTACTCAGTTCGCCACTTTCATTAGAACTGTTTATTCAGCAGAAAATACTCCACCTGTAGCATATGTGGAAGAAAAACACTGCTGTTGAGGTTTTTTAAGGAAACTAAATTTCTAAATCTTCTGCAAATGAACATAAAGCATTTATTAGAGATACCAAATAGAGCAAATGACAATTTTCTTCTGATTTGGGTGAACAGATCCTGAATGAAAACAAAGGTGTAAAACCTGTTAAATTTTTTTTGTTGCAATATTTAGCATACTACCTAATTGACCCTGTTGACATTTATTAAAGAGACATCCATTCACTTTAAACAGCACTGCCTTGCTACTTTTCTATTCTCAATTTTTAAGCATTTGTTCCAATTATTCTGCAGCTATCTTAACTGTCTGAGTCAGCCCTATTATCAGACTACACACTGACACTTCTACAGACTGATGAAAAAAACGTCAATTCTAAAACATTAGAAGTGAAATAATGAGTGCTGTGATCCATCTTTGTCATTAGAGAGTTAGTTCCAGCAAACCGTGGTGGAATTCTGTGCTGTTACTAATTTTGACTGTTCCATCCGCAAAGCAGATGCTTTCTGCTTGGACAAACTCATTCATGCTCTTGACAGAGCAGAGGTCAAAAACACTTCGCAGTCAAATGTGGTGGTATTTCATATTGTCGCAGGTGTTTCTGAGG